TACTCTTGCCATCTGCCATCTATTGCTGCACAAAATACGTTTTTTTATTTTTATTTTTCTTAGATTTTTGGTTTCCTAATAGAAGAACGGAAATATTATTTTAAGAATATAAAATAAGTGTAACACCTCGTACTAAATGGCAATTTTCTTTGAAAAACGTGGAGCTGTTTTTAAGTAAACAGCGTTTATGCCCGACTGTAAATTCGAAATTTGAAGCTCTTTTTCGCAGACAATTTTTGAGTTTTCGAAAAACTAATTTGAAAGTCATTTGATTCACTTTAACTCACAAATTCCATAGTGTTTACAAACGCTTGAAATGTGCATATTAACGGAGTGATACATCTTTCAGAAAATTGAATTTGTGCAATTTTCAAAAACAAAACAACCTTGAAATGAACTTTATGTTATATTAAATCTTTTGAACCTTGTGTGCTAGAAACTTTTTACAATGATTATCGAAATCAGCTTGATTGAATCTGAAAATACGTATGGACATTCTTGCAATTAAATACAATTATCAATTCTTGCAATTAATTATAATGCAACGCACATTATGACTTAGTTCTTTTCATCAAAACTAACGGCTGCATTTCCCCATTGCCATTTATTTCATGAACCAAAATGATTCTTCTTACCTATGTTCAGATAAGACTCAGTAAATCACATATTGATTTTCCTTTTAATATTTTGTATCACTTGAGATCATAAGTTTCAATTATTTGAGAACTTCACACAATAATTAAATATTTTTATCTGTGCTTAACATTTTTTAAATTTAAAGAGAAAGGGAATATTTCCCACAAACAGAACTAAGTATTATATATCAGTTAAAAGTCTTGCTTGATTTTAAAATTTAAAGAATGTTGCTATGAGTCAATGAAGCACATTTGTTCAAAATTGTTAAGTATATATAATGAGCTGACTTGTAATTGATTTTGTGGGATTTTGGTTTTTGTTTGTTAGTTTCTTGCAACCTCCAAAAATGAAACTCTTCTTGTAATAACACTTTAAAAACATTAAGTTTTAGATGCTACAACTTTCTCCAGTAAAACTCAACTAGGATCACATGTTTCCTCATTTTCCTCCCTCCCCTCAGCACATCCACTTCCAGTTACTCGTATGTATAGAACTTACAAGAACTTCCAAACAGCTAAAGTAATTGCATACATACCTAGGAGTTTACTCAGCACTCACAGGCACGTTCTTCATTCCTGTAACGTTCTCTGTGATATCTCGATGGACACGTTTCCCCGATGAACACAAGGCGAATTCCGAAACCAAGAATGTCAACACCCGCGCACCTTTCCTTGACCGATGGGCTGAAGAAATGCATGTAGAGTGGAGGTATTACTTACAAAGTCGACCACTAGAGTATTTGACGTAATGCCAACCTCTCGAAAATCATATTCAAACTTGCTACAGGTCGGGAAATAATTAAATTCTAAGATATGCACTCAGATCCTTTTCATTGTAGCTTAATTAATCTTTGCTCTCGTAGATCTTTGATAGAAATATTCTATCTCAGATTCGTATCTAAATTGTCTCGCATTTCGTAATGCATGAATGGTTAATTTATTGACTAGGAAGCACACTAACTTTGTTGTGTGCCTGACGCGTCGAATCTGTGTTGAGTTGTTTGTCTGACGTGACGAATCTTAAAATTACCTTCTCATCAAATGCGTCAGTCTAAGCAAAAACTAAAAATACAAACATTTTTCAATGACTTAAAATTCTCGACTTAAATGACTGTAAATGACTTAACATTCGATTAGATTTGATTCGATCGTTTACCGATTCCGGGGACGTCAATTAGCAGGGTTATTAGTCTCGTAAGTGTAGTGCATGTTTTTGCTCGTGATGTGGCGGTGATCCTTCCCCCGCTGTATGGCGAGATCCGGCGCCGACCTACCGTTGGCTATTAGGGTTTTCTCTTACTAGGTATCTCCCCCAGCGGGGCACCGCCCCAGCCGGGACAAGCTCTAAGCTCCCGAACGGTCTCCCGCCATGTGTGGTAGTGTAGTGCATGTTAGTATAAGAGGCGAGGATAGGACAAGGAAGAGTAAGGTGAGATCGCGCGCGGTCCGTAGCCCGATTGTTAGGGTACTGCTCCGGCATTCGTCTGGTATTGATCGAAGGAACTACAGAAAACTACCAATCAGAGCAGCCGGACGCTAGTATTCTCCTCCAGACAGCGAGTGTATTCGACATAGCTAACAACCCAGTGTCGAAAATTCTGCCACCGGCGGGCCTCGAACCTAGGATCTCCCGGGCAGAGGGACTGCAGTGACATCAGTTGATGCCCTGAGCTGTCTTTCATTCGAAGATCTGTGGAAAGTTGGTGGAAAGATTGTAGTATATAAAAATATAGTTACCTGAGTATGATAAATTGATTTCTTTGAATGTTGCCTTTACCGGGCGTTTCTGGGGATTATAAAAGTGTCTTGTCTTTATTCTATGCATCGTGGAAATAAATGCTCCAGTGCACGCAGAATCCCAATTTAAAGCGTTACAATCAAAGCTACATCAAAACCTTGTTCTTCTTTCCCAATTCATATGCATTCGCAACTTTATCGATGGACGCCACTACATGTCCTATTACTTTTCTCAAGAGTTTGAGGTGCCTCTCGTTAAGAATCTGGATCTGCCCTAGCCATTTCTTTAGGTATTAACGAGAAATTCTCGTCTTCGAAAGCAACTAGCTTGTTTTGTGTCAACGAAGTGCTTATGTTGGGAATGCCATCAGTGCTCACTGCGAGCTTTTGCCTTAAGGGAGGGAGAAGGTAGACCAGCGGTCAAGAAAAGGGGCACATTTATTTTTATTCTACCACGTACCGCTTGAAATGAAGGCAATTGAAAAATATTTTCTCAAAAAACCGTTACAAAGTTTTTCTTCATTTTTTAAACATCGGGTAGGGTAAAATACACTTCAAAATTGGCGCAGATTCCATTTAAGCAAAATTCTGAATTTTCGAAAACTGCGAAAGTTACGAATAATGCGAGAAAATGCGTGCCATTGTAACATTACCAATTTTGTGTTATTTATAATAAGAATTCCTAGCCTATTCGAAGCATACGGCTAAGAACTAACTCTTCTGTTTGCCGTTGTTATAATTTTGTGTTTAGTTTAAATAGCAATAGGATATACCATTTCCGAAAGACTCCAATACTTACAAATTCGAAATTAGGAACACTCACATTGAGGAAGAAATAAGTTCCAGTATTTTGAGTGAAATAATTTCGACTAATAATTAGCTAATTTTGGTGTCAGGGTCGCGCCATAGTAATTAAACAGGTTAATACAAGCAAATTCACCGTTAAAATTTTTGTGGAATGGCAGTCATTCGCAAATTCACAGTAGATACTTCAGTAACAAAAGAAACCGATATATTATCCGAAATAGATGAAATCTTGGAAAGTTTTTTTACACTTATTGTATTTTTAGAGCCATAATTTAACACAAAGAGTTTTTTATATTTGTGAATAATAGTTTTTTTCGTTTAAAATACAAAATGTAAAATACAGAAAAAAACACGATTTCACGAATGCCGCCTTTGAGTGGTGAACCGCGTGCTCCGAGATTTTAGATTTAGATTTGATTTATTTTGACCAAAAAAAAAAAAAAAGTAAAAACTGTTTGACGTATGGGGGAGAAGATTACCTCTGCACGCTTTTTTGAGTTCCAGAATTCCTTCTAGTCATTTCAACTATAAATAGTTGAAAGATGAGTAAAAGTTAAAAACAAGTTAATGAATAAATACATTTTAAACAAATCGCGAGATTAGCAATATTTGAAAAAGTAGAAATTTTTATTAGGCTGGTGTTAAGTTTCCTATGTTACTGAGCAATAGGCGTTTTGTAACTGTATTTCAATATTTACTCATTGCAAAGTTCATTTTGAACATTCTGTGCTCAAATATATTATTATACATTTTTTGTTGCAAAAGCTGGACGCAATACCACATTTTCATTTTAAAAAATCCTTTAAATGTATACTTTTTATTTATCTTAGAGAAACGAGCCCAAAATAAAAATTAAGAATTACTGCGTATTCAAAACCTTCCAGGGTAATGATTGGTTCATAACCAATTTTAATACTCCAAAAAGTGATTTTTTTCATTCACAACGCCTCCTGACTCCTCAGAAACGAAACTTGTGCTGCCACCTGTCTTCATGTGGACAAAACGCTAACAATTCAGAAGGGCTAGCGAACCTCACGGTCAATTGTAGAACTAAGATTTTTTCCCGGGAGTTTCAAACTGCTGAACTCCCTTACGCATATCTAGAAATTTAATAAAAGTCGAATAACATTGTTAAAACAAATAAATAAAGTTGTGTGCTTATTATTCTTATGTTTACACTTTATAATTCACAATATTACAAATAAAATTTATTTCACTTATTCCAATATCAGTCACATTTCATTATAATTCCATGACAAACAACAATCTTAAAACTTATATTCTTTTGAACAAACTTAATCTTCACTTTTCATGATAGTACTCATCAATCTAAAAATTCCTTACACACAATTTCCATGAGGCCAAGCACACAAACACAAGCCAGTTGAAATGAAGTTTTTCTCAACAGAATAAAAGACAGATCTTATAAGATGTAGTATTTACTTTATATAACTTTTCCACTGAATAAATATTTCAAAATGGTTCCATTAGCAATAAATATACAATTTTCCAATGTGTGAGAAGAATAACATTAATAAGTTTTAAATTAAATCAATTCAATAGTAAGCAACTCATTTCATGTATTCTCCCAACATTGCAACCATTTTGTGATTACTCATCTCTTAGTGAACCTTCTTTTTAGTTAAAATCTATAATGTGCTGGTAACAATTAGAATTAATGTACAAATAAAAATAAATACTTTTATCATATATTCTATTCAATCTTTAAACATTGTATTATCTACATAAAAATAAATATATGTCACAGCATAGCGCATCATTCAATGTGAATAAGAACATAATATGAAAATTATATACATACACATTAAAAATTTTCAAAACAACTATATACATATATAAAACAACACAAACGTGACAACAGAATTCATTTAACATAATATTATGCAAATTCCAAAAGTGTAATGACACTTTAGATCGACCATACGGCATTGCATGCTTTGCACATACATTAAAGGTTGAGTTAAGAAAAAATTGGCTACTCAATTAACCTGACTTCATCAACAGAGCCTCTTTATAAAATACTTAACGTTTCAATTCCAGAAGATTTTGTAGGTAAAACAGTAGTAGAAAAAACAGGCATAAGAAAGTTTGCTGATTAATATTGGAGAACAGGAATATAGAAATTCAGAATATAACTTCAGAAAAATGGACTATATATCCAGTTTTGTCCAACAAAGCACCAACTGCAGCTGAACTGTTGACTTGAAATGTCCCCTCACCAAGTTTGATTCAATCACACATGGGTTAATGAAAATGGAAAGAAAAAAAAGCATAAAATAAACTACATGGCATTGTGCCATAGCAATATAAAAAGACCCTTTCGATACGACAGAACTAGAATAAATCTCTAGTGTCTCTACAGAAAATTTCCTACAAATTAGACTATCTACAATGAGATATAAAAAATAAGATGACATGGTAATCTTGAAACATGTTACTTTGAAGAAAAGCAGTTTCACACCCTCTGGTATGACGGTAACTATTTATGCATCACGAGTCTTTGCTTTGTTATCTTCACTTGTACATGCTAGTGGCTACATGCGTACACAAAAGAAATAAATCACATTTATTATGGTAACATCAAGTTTATATAAATGGCACAGCCTATTTAAAATACTTCTTTCCGGAACATAAAACCAAATTGGTCACATTTCACTCGTAGGATTCTGCCCAACTGGGGTGGCCCACAGTAAAATACAGTCACCTTCCCTTTCTTCTGGTCAAGTAATTGCTTGAACACTTTGTCCCAGTTAGGTCTTCCAGCATTGGTTCGAGTCTTCAAGCCTGTGATAAGATCTCGTTTCTCCTGGAAGCACAAATTAAAAATTAGAAGAGTAAAAAATGTCGCTTTTCCGATTCATTTGTGTCATTTATCACTGTAGCTAGATACTTCATGCAATATGTGATTTTTGATGGCTTTTTTTAAACTCACAAATGCATTACAGAAAATACCAGAAAATAAATCTGAAGGCAAAGCTGTTAAAAATTGCATACAACATTCAGAGTGTATTAGTGGAAAGTAGGTACCTATCTTATTTATTGGAATATTAATACGGAGGATTTGTTTGGATGCTAATATAGCAATTTGTTTCATGCTAATACAGGTGATCTCTGGGGGTGAAAGACATTTTCAATCAGTACAGATGAAATCAGGCATATATTTATGTATGGTGTGAATTTATTCCAAGGCGTGGTGTGAATTTATTCCATTTTGAGGAGTAATAACTGTTTTAAGACTTTTTAAAGATGGTTTAATTTTTACTTCTTAAAATTGTTTTTATCCCGGGACCACAAGCAGAGAAAGGAGCAAAGGAATTGCTCGTGCTGGCCTTATTTTTGCAAATCAAAAAATAATTAAACGGATTAATACAAGTAAATTCATCATTGAAGTTTTTATAGTATGGCAGTCATTCACAGGTTATGGAATGCTATGAGACCGAGCATAATTCTTCTTTCACAATGACAGTTTTTCTGCATTTTGAAGTGATCTATTGGTGACACAATGAACTAGGGAATTGAATTAATGAGATAAAATATTTTCAGTCATTCTAATGAACAGAAATAACCTGAAGTTCAATGATTAGGCAACTTCCCTTTGTCTGTTTATTTTGTTTCTCCATGAAACTGTATAAACTTTGCAGCTCTAGTTACATAATAAAACCCTCAGTTCTTTGAGCATTACTGTAAAGCATAATAAAGCAAACATTCAAATAATTATTTAATTACTTGAAGCACCACATATCTGAGCACAGGTTAGACAAGCTTAGAATTTTCGTAAATATTTACAAAATGAAGATTTTACCGTCTTTTTCCAAAATACAGCGACATCATATAAATATATATCATCAGAAAATATATATCATCAAATCAATAAAGCAAAATAAATTTTCAAAAATGAAGATCATACTTTACATTATAAAAAAAAACAAAAAACAATGTATTTACTTACAAGACAGAAAAGCAGTTAAGTTCCAAGACTGTTGAAATTGTTAGTTTTTAGATTAAAGAAATGCAGATAGTTGAAGCAAATGATCTCATTCATATTGGTAAAATATGTAATTATTTCAAAAGACTTATGAAGTGCAATGAAAATCCAGAATATTTTGTGAATAATTAAAAGAAAATCAAGAATTTAGCAATAATATTCTCAGTTTTTTTTATTTTATCATACAATGATATAAATATTTTTATTAGATAATGCAACAAAAAATAATTTCAGAAGTAAATAATTCAAATATATTAATGTTAATATACTGAATGGTAAGATTACTTTTTAGAAGATTATAGAAATCTGAAATAGTGTTGAAAAGTATAGGAAGATAAACAATAGAAAGTAAAAGCATAGAAACAATTAACTATTAAAGCAAGCTCTATTCAACTTGATTTAAGTAATTAAATTTGGCCAAAAGAAACTATCACCTCAAAAGGTGACAGGGTGGTGATAATTATGTAATTGAATTTTCTTTTAATTTGTGTTGTCTATTTCTATGCTTTCCACCTGATACTGTTTATCAAATAGCACTCATAAAATCATATGCAAATTTAAGGCAAAGGTGATGACGAGACAGTCAAATACCTTTTGGCATAATAGAATGGCTTTTTGAAATACTCACTAAAAATTAATAATGAGAGTTTGGCATATCTCCAGAAAAAGTAAATATTCTTCACAGTAGTTTGGTACTAATACCAGGTAACATCAGCAAATATATAAAAAATCTACATTCGGAACTTTAGGGTTAATAAAATTATTCGCAGCTCATAAATAAAAAGAAATAAGTTCCCTCCTTGAAGATTCCTTAGCTTTTTACTGAATTGAACCAACTCCTTTTCAAAGAAAAACAATATTTTACATCAGTTATTAAAAGACAGTTCTTAAAGTTGATTAAGTCATTACACCAATATACAGTAAAATAATGATTGAACTTGAAATTTGCAATACCACAGTGAAAGTAAAAGTTTATAAGCAACCAAGTCCATTACTTGTGCTATCAGGTGTCATTCAATTCACCTTCATTTAAGAAAAATTCAAATGATGATATGCAATTCCATTTTCTTTGAATAGCCATTTTTAAATGTCATTTTTAGCTACAACACAATATTCTGTTATATTGGTATAACTGTAGTGTATTACAAAAGATATTTGTCAAAGCATGGTTAACAGTAAGTATAATGGTTAGAATATAGGTATTGAACAAAACAAGAGGATGCATAGAGGTTTGGCAAACAGCAATAGACTTTTACAGCTGGTAAATTTTGGTGATAATTAATTTTAGTTCTATTGCTATCTATCTATTATTAGTCCTCATTACTTTGAACATTTGAATGATATATTATTAAAAATGATGGCAATACTTTTGAATGTTTTCTACAGGTAATACTAAAACTTAAACAGAATCCCCTGCCACCAATCATCACCAAACAACCCAAAGATACAATTGATGTTCACTTACCTTTTCATGGAGAAGGTCTAGGGCAAGTTGGAGGCCTACTGCCTTCATGTCAGTCTTCTGGAGAGCACTGGTTATGTACATGTGCATCTCCAGGAACCGCTCCATTGCTCCTCCAAGCTCTGCCTGCTCAATTTCCAGTTGAGAAAGGAGATTCACAAACCATTCAAAAGATCGCTGATCTCTGTTGATCCAAAAGAAGTCCACCTGTGACAGAAAAACATTTTTGCTTCAATTCCAAAAGAAATTCCACCCATAAGAAATAAAATAAATGAAAATATAAAACAAATTGCGTGCTTTAAAAATAAATACTTGGATATATTTGTAAATTAAAATAATTTAGTTGCACCCAACAAAAACTGTTTATCAACATTTTAGTCCTAATATAAATATTTCCTTGATATATACTACATTTGAATGCAAAAAAATGAGATACAGAAATCTAGTCTGGATTGATATTTGGGCTATCCAATGCTACAACAATGTCATATTTTGAAGACAATACCATACTGTAAAAATTAAGCATTTTATGTCGTATCGGAGCACCTGAGACTTCAAACTCAGAGTAATATTGACAATAAGTTTTCAAAAATGAATAAAATTACAATAACATTCATGTTATTTTTTTAATAGCAATCTTATTACCTTTCTCAGATTCATGACAGTTGGTGGAATATCACTGGCCCAAGAAAACTTGCATTTTGGGCAGCAGTGTCTAGCCTTCCAATATCGGTGCATAATTGACTGCAGGATGGAAGCAAATGGTGTGACACCAATTCCAGTGGCAATAAGTACTGCGTGTTGAGCTCTAAAGATGTGGCTGGATGGTGCTCCATAAGGTCCATCTAAGTAAATCTATTAATAAAATAAAATACATTAATAATTTAAAAACAAATTGTGAAACATGTTTGTTACAAGAAAATATCATGTACCAAAGTTACGCAAAACAGTGTGCAGCAAGAGGCAGACAAAATATATTCAGTTCAAGGGTAGAAATTCTTAAGGCAAAAGAAACGTCCAGATTATTAAACAAAAAGTTTATAAAAACTGTAAAATATAATTTGTAATAATTTTCTTTTATTTCTAAAAACTTTTAATTCCTTCTTTGAACAAAGCAATAGGTAATTTTGATAAGGATGTATATTGAATGAGAGACTATGTTAGGCACTGTAGAATCGAAACAAGCTGCCAAAAAGGCACTAAAAGTACAAAAGGTAGGCTCTAAAATTGTCACTAAAATTGAGCCGTCATGATTTTGATACAACTACAATCATGATTTTGATACAATACCGACGAGGCATTTTGAGGTGACAATATGTCAACATATTTGCACGTGAATATATTATCCAAACAACATTCTATTGATATATACATATTATATATTTTAGTATTTTTTTTTCTAGTATTTTGCTTAACATCAGTCTCTATTTACAAAAATAACAGAAAATCGTAAAGAAATTACATGTGTAGTTAGCAGTAAATTTTTCCTTGTCAATTTTCTGATTCCAAACCTTAAATCATCAAAGACAGTATCAAAATGGAATCTATCACAGTGAAACTTCTTTATAACATTCCTGTGTATGTTTTCCTCTATGTTATGTCGATTTTTTTTGGTCCTGACCAAAAGCTTATATTACTGTCTTCCTCTTCATAATGTTTTCCTCTATACAGGTTTCAGAATTCATGTGTTCTTAAAAAATGTAGTTATATAGAGATTTCACTGTATATTGAAATGTATTACAATTACTTTGTTTTGAAGGTTGAAAACATTAACCAGCAGTAAATATTAACATTTAAATCACAAGCACAATATCAAACATATAATGCTCCCAAAATTTTCATGCAAGTTTCAACCCAAATTTTCATTAAATGTGTGTCAAGTGTTTACACCATAGAGAAACATTTAATAGAAAAATGATTTGGGTATTTAACTGTGACATAAATACTGCCGGCCAGGCCCAAGGGTCTTCTAAACACAAAAGGCTTCCATAATCATGTCTGCTCAGTAATCCTACTGATTCTAATGACTCCTGTGATGATTGTAACTGCAGAGCAATCTTTTCCCAAATTGAAAATTATAAAAATTATCAGTGAAATTCAATGGGACAGAAAGACTGGCAAACTTTTTTTTTTACAAGATAACCTGGGCATTGTTATTGATTAGTTCATCAAAGAGGAAATCCAAGAGGCTCGATGGTGAATTGTGTGATTGATTTTGATTAATAAGTTTTTTTTCAATTAGTTTTCAACACACTTTTTTTATTTGATCTACGTTTTTTAAGGGGTGCCTGAAATTAAATTTTTGAACCGGGGTCCCCAAAGGGCTAGTTATGCCACTGGTATTAAAAAAATCATGAACTCCTGAAGCTCACATATGTTGGTGTGAACTAGGTTAGATTTAGGTTTCAGACCCACATACAAACTTTCCATTGTTTCAAAATTGCATACAGTTTTTCAGGATGACATTGATGTACTTCAATACATTTGGATCACATGCTGAAACAATCATTTTTAGGACAACCATTATACGTAATAACACAGGAAAATTCACATGGTTTCTTCAATACAACAAAGGATATTAAACACACAAATGCTGCAGTTATATTGTTTAACATAAATCCAGAAATGGAAATTTGCAATTAAAGAATTCACTTTAAATATACAGGGAATTATTAAAACACATGAAAACACACACAAATTGTAAGCCCAGCAATGCATAACACAAAAAATTGTTAGTCACAGTGAAGTCAAGCCACATGAAACATTAAACACAATGATCAACACACTGTTCTCACCTCTGTACCTTCCCCAAGTTGTACGGTAGGTAAGTCTATGACATTCTCTTCTGAAATAGTCTAGATATAAAAGAGAGAAAAAAAACAGCATTTCAGAAAAGAGGAGTTCAGTTTCACTTGTGTAATTCTTGTTAATTAGATGCGATGAATTGTCTCAAATTTAATCGCACAGATGAAAATATTTTAAGAGTAAAATTTAGAGATGTCCAAGAATTACTGATTAGTTACACATCAGAAGTCTACACATCCCAGTAGAGTTAGTATTAATAATTAAATATATTGTTTTATTTTCTTTAGAAGAATGAATACCATATGATTAAAAATATTATTTTCAGAAAAAGTTTAAATTAAATGTTTTCTACAAAGGGTGCAGTTACCTTTAGTTTTCTTATAATTGTGACCAAGTTATTAGCTAAATACGAATTATTCTGTACATGATAAAATTTTCTTTCTTTTACCTGTCAGTCAGAAAGCGAGAAAGAAAAAAAAAGAAGGGTTTTCACTCTTTAACACCACAACTTGTCCATTACCTATCTGAAGTTCATCACCCCAAAACGAGGTTCCAAAATATTCATCATTCTGTGGTTGTAATGATATAAGATATAATTTTCTAATGTTAATTGTTATCAGCTTAATTACAGAAGGCTAGAGACTATTGTACTATTTTAATGTGTATGTGATGATTTACAGTAAAAGAGCACATTTTTGACATACAAAAATAAAAATATTTTAAAACTTTTAAGGTATGTTGCAGCATTAATCTTTACAGGGGACAAAAGGGATATAGTGGAAAAAAGAGTCATGGTGAACAAAAGGGTCATGGGGGACAAAAGGCACAAAATGGACATCAGAAAGGAGACAAGAGGGCAAAAGGCACATGGGGGCAAAAGGCACGTGGGAGGGCAAAAGGGATGCAGGGGCAAAAGGGATGTTGCGAGCAAAAGGGACGTGGGGGGCAAAAGTGACGTGGGGGCTAAAGGCACGTGGGGGCTAAAGGGACGTGGGGGCAAAAGGGACGTGGGGGCAAAAGGGACGGGGGGGAAAAAGACATGGGGGCAAAAGGGACATGGGGGCAAAAGGGACATGGGGGCAAAAGGGACATGGGGCAAAAGGGACATGGGGGCAAAAGGGACATGGGGGTAAAAGGGACATGGGGACAAAAGGGACATGGGGGGCAAAAGGGACGAAATGGGACCAAAAAGACAAGGGGGACAAACGGGACATCGTTATCTTAAGAGTTTTGAGCACTGTTAAAATGTAATCCCGAGTGTCCGTTAAAATATTTGTAATGGGCTCGAGCATTTTAACGGTCGCACTCTTAATATGTTATTTAGATTGCTTTTAGCAATCAATTTAGGTTGCTAAGGAGCTAAGCGCGTGTTTACCAACGTAAATAACAAAAAATTTAGATTGTGTGAACGTTCCCCTCCTTCTGGCTCCGCCCTCCAAACTACCCTAATTCACATAAACGAGCAGCTTAAGAAACAGCCTTACCTCGAGCGGCTTGCCGACGGGGTAGTTCATGGGCGTGTGCAGCTTGACCTCGAGGCCGCTGGAGCTGGGCAGCGAGCAGAGCGCTGGCGAGCGGCCCTCCTCGGCGGCGCGCTCCGGGGAGCAGGCGGCGGCGGCCGGGCCGTCGACGGGCGAGGAACCGCCGCTGGCGGCGCCACCTGCGCCGCCGCCGCTGGTCTGCCGCATGAGGCCGCCGAGAGATAGCGCGGCGGACGAGGCGCGCGCCTCGCACTCCTCGAGCGAGGGCGTCTTGAAGGCGATGATGGTGGGCTTGTTGCGCATGTAGCGGAAGCTCTGCGCCAGCGACTTGTTCTGCGGGCTGAGGTAGGCCAGCCCCAGCGACTGGAGGCGCGCGCGCCGCATCTGGCACTCGTCGAAGCTCTTCTCCGATTCCGAGCGCATGTACTCGCGCAGCCTGAGCAGCGCAAGCGAAACGGTCGTTAAGGCCCATTCACAATGTAAACGTAAGACGTAAACATTAACATAAGTGATAGACTGTAGCATTCACAATGTCTAACATAAACGTAAGCAAAATAAAGAGTTTCAATTGGCTGTGGGGCATTCTAGTTCATTATTGGTTGGATATGAGAATCGATTTCGAGGTATCGATAGTGTCCACGGCCCAAATGGCATTATTTCGTCAATCGACTTCGCTCCTTTCGATTCTCGATTTTGAGTTAACATGCTGTGATTGGTTCATTACGTATGTCTTACTTCAGCATAAGCACAGAAACTTGAAGCTTTTAAGTTAACGTCTTATGTGTTATGCTTACGCGAAACATTATGAATGAGTCCGCTTTTGGACGATTATAGTACTTATGGAGATTTCTCTATTTAGAGAATAGTTCAACGTATGCGGATTGCATTTTCTAATAGGCGAGGAGAAAATAACGTCGTTTCTATGAGTATTAGTGGCCAAAAATAAACTTGATATTTTTTGGGAACAAGTCACGGTGAATTATAGACACATACAATGGAAATTTTTTTATGTACTCACACTAGGAGCCTCTCCCGCTTCTTCACTCGAGTCTGCATATCCGGCATTGACAAAGACTTGGACAGAGGCGACTTCTTGTTCATAATGAGCATCTGGAGCTTGCGGTCTGGAGTAAGTTTCCGTTGCGGCCCTGCAATCACTTATTTGTAATGCACTCGAATAAATTTGTGAAACAGCGGAAATTAGAGGCCAATATTCTTACCGTTGTTGAGACCGCCGCTGGCGACGAGGCTCAAGTCGCTCTCGGAAGAGTGTTGCACGGGAGTGTTGAGATTGATGTCACTATCACCCGAGAAACTTTCATTTATGTAGCCTTCTCCCTTACGGAAGGCAATGGCTTTCACTTTGTTGTTACCGTTACTGTCATTTTCAAACTTTTTCTTAATCGATCTGAAAATAGTTAATATGATTATCAATTAGTGTATTATGTGTATGGCGAAATGACAATATGAGTTGTGATACAATCAGAATAATATTATTTAATGTGTAGTCGTTTCTATTACTTTATAATAATTAAACATGTAGTTTTAGGGCAGCTTTTCTGAGAAAGATATAAAAGTTTTGAATTTCTGAATAATTGCGTTACCGCTCCAAAAAAACGCATGGTAATTTTGGTATTTTTTCTGTTTGTTATCATTAAAAAATGCAACTTTAAAAATACTAGCACAGAAGAATCATTATAATTATTATAATATTTCGTTGTGAAAATTTTCTTAACTTTTATTGTTGATTTTTAAATTTTGGTTTTAACGCCGTATTTCTTCAACCTTTCGTACTCGGAAACAAATTTAATATATGACCAGAAAGGAAGCCAACTTACGCCTGTATTTTCTTAATTCCTTTAGGATTTTCATTGTTTCCGTTGACAAGAGACTTCGTAACCAAATTCACAGCCAGACTTTCTTCAACGTTGTGTAGCTTCTCTTGCTCCCTTTCAAAGTAACTGTAGAGCCTATTCGTCCATTCACCAACGCCACGAATGTGGAGCCACATGTAATCTGCAAGTAAATTACATGACATTCACATTCAAACAGTTTAGATTACACACTAAACCGACAAACGTCAATGTTCATTATGGGAACCCATAAATCAAACAATTAAAATTCAATACGGGTAGCTAAACAGTGTATGCAAACGGAAACTGAATACGTAAATATGATGACGCGATCCAGTGGTCGTGGTCAGTAATAAGCAAAAGCCAATACGTCCATTGTAATTATAACCTTTGTTGGCACAAGAGGAAAACGTTTAATATTTGCATAGTCAAGTTAATTATTTTGAAATTGTAAACGAAGTTGTTATTTTTAACATTCATTACCATTGTTTTCAATGTTTGAACTACACTGCATTGGATGAAATTAATCACGAGCACATTTAAAAAAATAACCATGAAAGGAAAAGACAAATGAAACAATTAATAAATGTGTATATATGTAGACTATTGTCTCTGAAAAGAAATAAATGAAAGGAATGAAATCTGGTACATTGCTTTCTTATTGTAACAATCAGGACAGTATTTTTTTAAAAAATATCGCTTTTTCTATTCGATTTTACCCCCCCCCCCTTCCTTCTGACCAGTAATAAGGTGCGACTCGTCCATCTTAGCAGGCTGTATACGTCGATCCCTACATCGATGTCCAATAAAGCGAATATGTAGTAGTAACCCTTTGATATTAACATAGCTTTCAGTCATTTTTAAAATTAGACACATTTTGGAAATATGTTGAACATAGTAATTTAATTTGTGGAATAGTCTTATAAATAGCACTCGTGGTTTGGAAATTTTTTGATAGATCCCCTTCCTCGCTTTGCGAGAAGAGGATTTATTGACAATTTCCAAATCACTCGTGGTATTACGTGTGATTAAAAAAATTAGAACCGTACCTTCGTGCTTAGGAAATTCTCAGATAAATCCCCTCCTCGCTTCGTGAGGGATTTATCAACAATTTCCAAATCACTCGTGGTATTACGTGTGATTAAAAACATTAGAACCGTACCTTCGTGCTCAGGAAATTCTCAGATAAATCCCCTAATCGCTTCGTGAGGGATTTATCAACAATTTCCAAATCACTCGTGGTATTACGTGTGATTACAAACATTAGAACCGTACCTTCGTGCTTAGGAAATTCTCAGATAAATCCCCTCCTCGCTTCGTGAGGAATTTATCAACAATTTCCAAATCACTCGTGGCATTTACTATGACTACAAGCGTTTGAACAGTACCTTCCTGCTCCGGGGCGCTGCTGATGGTGAACGGGTGCCACTCGTACTTGGCGATGGCCGGGATGTTGACGAAGATGTAGTCGCCCGGGTGGAAGTCGAAGTGGTGCGGCCGCTTGATGACCAGGTGCGTCACCTTGGAGGGCAGCAGCAAGCCCGAGCTGATGTACGTCTTGCCTCGCTCCGACCGCATCCACGCCAGGCGCAGCACGCGCTCTAGCACGTACACCACCCCGGGGAAGATGAACCACTTCCAGAAGTTGGGGGCGTGGAAGATCACCAGGATCCAGAACGGCACGTACAGCAGATGCGTCCAGTAGAAAATCTGGTGAGCGGAAGCAATACGTGGTCAAAAGGAAACGCCGGTTGATCGATTGGTTATTTCGCGTTTTCCTTGATTTTTTAGCTGCTACTCATTTGACCGGTAAGGTGCAGTACATTTTAAATCAGCAGGTGGCAGATGTTTCCCCCTCCGCTAAGTAGACGAGATTTGACAGCGAACCTACAAGTCTACTTGCGGGCTCTTTTTCCAGGTAACTCCGTCAGGCAGGTGCACGCCCTAGCCATACAGCTGTAAGCTCCCATACATGTGGGTGGTCTTCCGACGTTGGATGTGTAGAGAAATGTGTGGATTGTCAGGGGGAGAGCGTGTTTCGGATGTTTTCGCTTCTATGATCATTTGACCGGTATAAGTGCAAGTACATTTAAATCCAGCAGGTGCAGTGTTTCCCCTCCGCAGTAGACGAGAATTTGACAGACGACCTACAAGTTACTTGGGGCTGCTTTTTTCCAGGTAACTCCGTCAGCAGAGGTGCACCGCCCTAGCCATACATGCTGTAGCTCCATACCATGTGGGTGGTCCTCCGACGTGGTGGAGTGTAGAAGAATGAGTGATTGTCAGAGGGAGAGCGTCGTTTCCGGAGTGTTCGCATTCTATGCATCATTTGACCGGTAAGTGCAGTTACATTTAAAATCCGGCAGGGCAGGTGTTTCCCCCCCGCTAGTAGACGAGCATTGCAGCGAACCTACAAGTCTACTTGCGGGCTTCTTTGTTTCAGGTAACTCCGTCAGCAGGGTGCACCGGCCACTAGCCATACATCCTGAGCTCCCACATGTGTGTGGTCTTCCGACATGTGGCAAGTGCTAGACATGTATATGGTTTGTCAAGAGGGGAGAGAAGACTAATGATGGGCCGCAGTCTGTGCCCATTTTGGTTGAGCATGCTGCCTCCTGACATTCGCCACGTGTTGATCACAGACACACGCGGAAAACACCGCCAGAGCAGCCGAACATAAGAAATTTTCCGATGAACAGCGATTGAGAGCGTAGACTCCGCGGGCGGCAGCCAGATGGAGTCTTGTCATCCGGGTGGCACCCCATTAAAGTTGGTTGCACTTACCGCATCTTCGGCCAGAGGACGGCGCGTGTGACGATTGAAACCATTGTTATCTTGGTCTAGGAAAAGCGGCGGTCCACATGGACATCAAGAATCTAATTCGTAGACAATCGCTGCCATTTAAAGACGTTCTTGCCAAACTCGTCTTAAAATGGGGAAATGGAGGCTTTATGAATCGTGTCATTCGTGTAATTATTTTTCTCACCTATTAATTACGTAATTTAACTACCTAAATGTTTTTACATGAAAAATGGACCCAAAAGTGATGTTTGTTCTTATATGATCGTTAGATTATACAATAACCAGGACGAATTGAAAATATAAGAAGATATAATTTGGTATTCAACTTCTCTACTGTGACCCTACGAAATCTCTACGAGGCAGGAACTTCTTAAACAAGGAGTCGCGAAAAAAATGGCGAGAAGAACGCAGCAAAGTGTGCGTGATCAGGCGGAAGACCAGACATAATTGGCTAAATTTATCCACGTAAATAAGTCAGCATATAATTAATTGAACCTCCTGCTGCGACATAATCTACCATATCGCAGTTTGCCACTTGGACTGAGATGTGGCGGAAGGAAGATGTGTGAAAGGAGCGAAGTGAAGTTAGCATGGTCACGAATAAGAGCAGCCCGGACGGCCTGAGCTTCCCCATATAAAAAGTGAGGCTGAATTGCATGAGCCTCCTTGCAGCTGCCCAAACGTTCGGAGGGGTGGCAGCGCGCGTGGGCGCGTTGAGCAAGAGCGCGGGGGCGCCCCCGGGGGTGCGGGGGTCGCGGGTCAGCGGTCCGCGGGGCGTGGGGCGTGGAAGCGGGTGCGTGGAGCGTGGTGGCGTGGGGAGTGGGAGTGGGGTGGGGAGTGGGCGTGGGCGAGTGGGCGTGGGGCGGGTGGGAGGTGGCGTGGGGCGTGGGGCGTGCGGGGCGTGGGGCGTGGGGCGTGTGGGCGTGGGGAGTGGGCGTGGGGCGTGGGGCGTGGAGTACGGGCGTGGTGCGTGGGCGTGTGTGTGGTGGCGTGGTGGTCGGGCGTGGGTGCGTCGGGTGGTGCGTCGGCGTGGTCGTCGGGCGTGTGCGTCGGACGCTGGTGCCGTCGGCGCTGGTGCGTCGGCGTTGGTGCGGTGGCGGGGTGGTGGGGCGTGGGGCGGGGCGTGGGGCAGTAGGGGCGTGGGGCGCGGGGGTGGGGGCGCGGGCGCGTGGGCGGGGTGGTGCGGCGGTGGGGTGGGGCGTGGCGTGGTGTGGGCGGTGGTGGTTGGCGTGGGTGGTGTGGGCGTGGTGGGGTGGGGCGTGAGGGGGGCGTGGGGCGCGGGTCGTGGTGGCGTGGGTCGTGGGGCGTGGGGCGTGGGGCGTGGGGCGTGGGGCGTGGGGCGTGGGGCGTGGGCGTGGGGCGTGGGGCGTGGGCGTGGTGCGTGGGCGGGGGCGCGGGCGCGGGGCGCGTCTCACCTCGAAGCAGCCGCCGCGCCGCACGAAGGGCTGCGAGCAGACGAACATGACGACGAGGATGAAGATGAGCGCGACGCCCGTGGGGTTGGCGCAGCCCGGCACCAGCCCGAACAGCTGCGGCCGGTCCGTCAGCAGCCACTCGTACAGCGAGAAGTTCTTCGCGTTCACCACGGGGTCGTTCACCACCACCAAGCCTGCCAACACCGACAACGACACCTTTTTACTCCGGCTCGAAACGCACACCAGCTCCTGAGGAGAGTAAGCTATTACGAGGCGAATCAGAGGATGTGCGAACGACCCGGTGAACTAAGATAATGATCTTGGCTGTCCGAGTGACGCCGCGTCGAAGGCTGTGTTGGCGAAGTTTCGACCATCTTGTCGTGGTCTTCCTCAGGGCCGATATAGACCACGATAAGATGGTCGAAACGTCGGCAACACAGACTCCGGTCGCGGAAGCCTACGACTTCCAATGAACTGAGGTTCAAATGAAATTTCCCGAGTAAATACACGAAAGGATAACTAATCATACTTCCTGCAATGCAACGCAATTGTTTGGCAGGGTTTTTTGTACCTTCCTACTATTTATATACATGTAACACCCTTGATTTAGTTTAGCAAGTATGCGTTCACAGCTGGAGCTAAGTGTACACTTGAGAGTGCAATTTTTCGCACTGTACGAAGAGTTCTATGGATGTGAACACTGTTAACTGCTGGTGGTCTCTGGATCTCCAGATAATTTACATGTTAGACATATAACCCATTATCTCGCAAAAAGAAGGAAAAAATGCAACACTTGACACATAATTGAAGACTTAATTGAGTACAGCTTGCTGACGTGCAAGTCACTAAAGTAAGATGCTATTTTATTAAGAGCATTAATATCTCAACTAATTATCTCCGTAGATATTGTTTGTAATAGTTTGCGCAGTGTACATTGCGTAGAACACAATACATATCGTTTGGAGCTTGAGTTGCCATTAAGGAGAGCACAATACTTCAGGTTTAAAAAATTTTTAGAGGAAGTATGGTGATAATTACAATAATTTTAGGTAGAGCACTACGTCACGTAGACTAAAAGATGTTCCACATTATATAAACTGTAGAAGCTAAAGCGTGCCTTCTTGACGGCACGACTAACTTAGCTTTTTCAATTCATTTTTTAAATTTATTTATTTAATATCACTTTATAACTAAGTCATCAGCGACTCCTGTTATTACACATGCAGTTAGTTACAATTTTACCAAAAATAATTGAGTCAAAATTATTTTCACATGTTATGTATAATCTAAGGTACTAATACAATATCCATAGCTATGTCTGTTCAATTTGAAATATGAAAGTTTTACAACTTTGGCACACCCGTCTGTGAAATTGAGCAGTGATTTTCCATTAGGTTTTCGTTCAGTTTCCCTGATCCTCGAGCAAATGCTGAGATGGCCCCTTGTTTTGCTTCTGGACATAAATGTAACTTCAAATTATCTTCTTCCCATAGTACGTCCTACACAGTTTTTAACTTTTTTGACGTAAATAAATAAATAAATAAATAAATAAATAAATAAATAAATAAATAAATAAATAAATAAATAAATAAATAAATAGTTAGTCAAATTATAATACTGTACTCGCGGAGTGCTCCCTAAACTGTGAAATATTTGAAACAAGCTGAAACGATATTGGTCACTTCAGAAGCGGCACCGAGGTTGAGCCAGACAAAATGAGCTCAACGGTATACTTGTCTTCTGCACCACGAAGATTAATGAAGGAGGATAAATAGTAGAGTGTCAGAACTCCCCTGCTAACTATGCAAAAAAAATGTAATTAGTATTCACACGCGCTGAAAAAGCCTGTTCCTGCTCTGTCTTAATTGAAAATGGAATAGAAAGTGTCTGTCGAACTTCCAGTTAATACTCACTGAAATTGAGAAGATGCATAATTGTATGGACGACGCTGTAAATGAAGATCAGGACACCAGTCAGCTTATGGAAGTAGATGTGCTGGTCCAGGGGTAGAAACATGCTGAAGCCGCGGGTTCGAAGGAACGTGATGCACTGCCGCAACATCAACACCAACACGAACATGCAATTGAAGTTGAGGCACTGCCCTACGAAAGAGATAAAAATGTGCAATTATTAAGAAACTTAAAGACAGTTGAACCGGGAAATTGTTGTTGTTAATGTGGAAATATTTATAAGTGTAAATATATTGCGAAGAAGGCTTTCCCAGTGTTATATGAGTTATATGAAATTACGACTTCTCCACATGATACTAAATGTAAATGAAATGTAGAAGTTGCCTGCGAATGAATAATTCAAGAGCAAAGTAGTACTCCATCCTGAAGAATTAAATTTAAAATAATAAATCTGAATTGCATAACAAACATTTTTGAATGTGGTGATTTGCATTGTATTGTAACTCAATGTTCCATATTATTTTTCATTTCGAAAAAGGATAAAAATGTGTGTAACAGTGATTTTCCAATTGTTGTATCTTGTCGTTAGTGTAATTATATACGTACGTTTTCGCTTATGAAATGAGCGGGGAAAATCAATATTATGAATTTCATATGTACGAAACATTATTAACTTTGTAAGAATTTTGATTTACACTGTGACATCAGTGATAAGCCTGTCAAAAAAAACCTATATTACTCTAATAATAAGCAATGTTAGTATCAGTGAGTAACAATAACGTGATTTCATTTACTTTCATTCAAAAAACATTAATAATCAAAATACGTAATTCATCGGAGAGTCACGAGTCGATAGACTATTTCTAACATCATTCCATTGCGCTACGTACTTACCACATGCTCTGGCCAAAATAACAAATCCGTGGTGCTCCCTGTACTGAATGGAGCGGGAGATGAAGAGGCCGATGTTGACGACTGCGAAAGCCGCGAGGAAGATCAAGTAGACGTAGTTGTTCTTCATGTAGGGCCGCGACAGCTGGTAGGGCCGCAGCGCAGCCAGCTTGCCGAAGAGAGAGCGGGGCGCTGCCTTGGGCTTCGGAGGTACCAGCCACCGGTCTATACTGCAACACCACGGCAACAACTGCACATCGACCGCTGGGACAGCGCGTGTCTGAACTTGCCTATCGGTGGCTAATTTGTTTTACAGTTTTGAAAACGAGATTTGATAGAAAATATATTCTTGTGTGTAAATTGAGAAATGATTGCATAAAAATTAAATAAACAATGCAATATTTATATAATATCTACATAGAGGGAAGAAACTGGCATAAATAATCATAAAAATTATGTAGAAAACATAGTTACAGACGTTAAAGAATCACTACATTTTATAATTAACAAATATTCTGACAAGGTATATTTTATTTAAAAAATATGAGTGGTACTTTACCTTCGTATCTTTCCTTCATTTTTGCATTCGCAAAAGAAAAAAAGCAACATGAGAATTTTTTAACCTACTGTACTTAACAATATGAATGGAATATACGTATTGAATATATTGAATTAAATAATTTTACTCCTTTCGTTTATTTCTAAATACAAAATATCAATAACTTAAACACGACAGAAATTATGTTGTTGTTTTTAACTGTATCAAAGTTAAAAACAAGTATTAAAAAATAAGAAAAACTGAGAGGATAAGATCGCAAATTTGATCTACTACGCTAAGTCAATATTGTATTATCTCACGGAGCCGGGTGACGGGGGTGGTAAGCAAGAGAAATTCGAGTCTACCAACAGCACTATCAAAAGGGCGCACGCAAAACCAAAAGTATGGGATGGTAGAAATGAACACAAACACAGAGATCGGAACATAAATGGAAAAAAAAATGTGGAGATCAGAACGAATGACGTAGTACAGAATTGGAGGCTTCAAAGAACGTAGACGGCACACGCATGGTACTCCACCGCAATGCCGATGCGCACCTGATGGAGAGGTTCTCGAGCAGGCCGCCGTGCTTCTCGAGCTGGTTCTTGAGCGCCTCGTAGGTGATGGCGCCGCGGTTGTCCGCGTCCGCGTCCTCGAACAGCGCCATCGTCAGGTCGTCGATCTGCTCCTCGCTGAACTTCATGCCGTTCTCCTCCATACACGCACGCATCACGTGCTGCAGCTCCCGGTGTTGGATGAGGCCGTCGCCTGCGACACGGGGCATGCCGTTAACCTCTAATAGTTATATAGGTGTTGTGGTGTGATATCTTTGGCATTTTTCATAAAATAATTAAAGACGTTGTCATTGTCAACAATATTATTTAATGCTAGAGCAGCTTTCGATGGCTTAGCCATCATCATCAGTTGTCTGCTGGATGGAAGCCACAAAAACGACTACCTCTAGGTAGTGACCTCTAGGTGGCAATGACAACGTCTCTAATTACTCTAATAGTTACAACGGACGGTCGGGAAGTAATGCTTCCTATTGCTGTCCCCTTAAATAAAATTAGGCGAGTGGAAAATATGAGTTTGGCACTATTCCTCAAATTCCCTTCTACAAACCATCGCAACTAATTGGGTTGGTTATTTACTATTTATCTGCCTAGAGCCGTTTAATGCAAGGGACAGTTAGAATGTAATACCTTCTATTTTTTTGTACTTAAAGTTAGTTAAGTGAAAAATTTGAATTTGCTTCTATTCCTCAAATCATTTTGTACAATCCACCTCAGTAGTAACTTTCCGCGTCAACATGTGGCAGGACAACTGTCGTTTCATGTATGGCCGAGATCGATGTTCATAAGAGACCGCATTGGGTGAGTGTATTCTTGAAGGCAGAAGGTGGAATGACCACTCGCATTGAGAAAATGTGTAGGGTGATGAAACAGTGGGTGACAGCACTATTAGACGATGAGCGTCGCCTCTTTATAACGAAGTAGAAGGGCAAACACCGATGAATGACGAAAAGTGGAAATAGAAGTCGATAAGTGCTGTCATTCCACTCAACATTCAGCAAATCGATGACATTATTCGTGATGACCGCTGGGCAATTGCAGACGAACTGAAGGAGAAAATGCGACTCATTTCATGCGATTCATCCGTCACAGTTCACCTTCTGCTTTCAAGAATTCTATCATTCAATGCTGTCTCTTACGAACATCGATGTCAGCCATTTTTTAAACGACTGCTGTGATACCACATGTTGACGAAGAAAGTTACTACTGAGGTGGATTGTAAAAAAATGATTTGAGGAATAGAAGCAAATTCAAATTTTCACTTAACTAACTTTAAGTACAAAAAATAGAAGGTATTAGGTATTGCATTCTGACTGTCCCTTGCATTAAACAATTCTAGGCAGATAAATAGTAAATAACCAACCGAATTAGTTATGGGCGTTTTCAGTAGCGTGTCGTTCAATATTGTTTGTAATACTACCACCTTTTACAAAAAAATAATAAAAATAAGATATGTCTTCTCCCCCATTCATTTCCCTCACATACAGTTTTTGACTAAATAAATCTATATCTAAATGTAAATTAAAATCTTTTCGTGTGTTAGGAGTGCTCATACGCCATCTTTAGTTACAACTCGTTTGTTTGATTTGTTTGTAATGGATGGCGGACTTAAATTTTTACCGCATAGACTGTGAAGAGTGACCTTTAATTATTAGGTTTGTTTGCATAAAAAGGAATACTATGATTTTTTCGATTGTTAGACCATAACAACATTTATTCTTTAAATAATTTGATTTTATTCAATACTTTCTTTCATATCGACTTAACACAACACAGAGAAACGTGGCTTTTGCTATCGAAAACGAAAAAAAAAATTTTATCGAAACCGCAACGCCATGTTATACGATTTGATGGTCCGATTTTAATTGACATGCTTATTCTATGTGAAGCTGTAAAAGTTGAGAGTGCTCAGTGCAAATGTATGGACATTTGACATTGCTAAAGGGAACTTATACAATTGAAAATTTTAACTAAAAATGTTCAATTAGCAGTATTTATTTACAAAATGTGACAAAAAATTATCGTGAGATTGACGAGGGTAAAAGCATATTTATTGTAAGTGAATTTTTGTGGTTAGGTGTCGCTGTACTAAAACTTGCCTAAATTACGAGTAGGAAAAGGAACGTGCAATTAATTATTTTTAAGCTTAAGGGGAGTATTACGTAAGCACACCTACTCTAATATAAATTAGAAAGAAGTGTGTTCTGTAAAAAACATTGCTTCAGGGCAATGAGAGTAATGAATGATAAATTAATGATATTATTCAAACTAAATTCCTCTGATTTCAAGTAATATATCAAAATTCCTGACAAGAAACCTTACTATCGGATTTGATGAAGACAAGCGATAAACGTTTATCATATGAGGAGAAGTAATTCATTGCATATTGACTTTCAAATGTGAATAGCAAAATACTTGTTCACTTACCATCAAGATCGTAGACTTTGAAGAGAAATTTTATTTTGTCGTCGGGGGACTGTCCGGCGAACTGATGCATAGCATCGATAAACTCTTGAAGAGAAATGGAGCCAGAGTTGTCCTTATCAAAAATCTGGAAAACTCTTTCGGTGAAAAATGGCTGTAACAAAAAGAAATGAAATTTTTCTGAGGATATTACATCGTTATTTATATAACCACAAAAATGCAAATCTGACAGTCTTTGACCGCAACTTAGCATATTCAGGTGACTCCGAATCTACTCTTTGTGGAAGTTCTTTTCTTTTTTTATCTATTCAAATGCCAAAATTAATACAGTCATAACTTAAGTAAATTATCATTCTTTACATAAGTACTGACAATGACAACAGCTACAGCTCTTTTAGGCTGTGATTTATGTGAATATTCATGAGAAATTCGCAGTCATTTGATAAAATATTGGGTTCGTTATCACCAGACGATCGTACAGCTGTGTGTTGCATAGTTAAACAGAAACGATTAATTATATGGTAATATATCAGGAGTAAATTAATAGGCGTTATAAAGAAGATAATAGTGAATTAAAGCAAGTTCAAAAGAACACACACACATGTGTGGATACAAGGACCAGTTTCCTTCATAAAGATGGAGATATCGCAATATTTTTATGCCAAACAAGAGCAACAGGTAACAATTATCTTCTTTCCATATATATACAGATTATTTTGGGACTTGTACCCAGCCTCACGCCTGGAGACATAAATGCTAGATTTGTAGATTAATAGCTAACATTACTCTGGTATTGCATTAACTCTAGATTATTTACATGAATCCGCTATTTAAATTATTTTCCATTTCGAATGAGAAATACGAATCCGAAATGTTATAAATTGCCTTAATTAATTTGAAGACTGAATTTCAAGTATTAACATACTTGTTTAAAGGCTGGTTGAAAATAGTCTTTACAGTAATGTGGTTAAGTAAAAATTGCATTTATATGTTAAATAGGATTTTATTTCACAAATACAAACAAAAAATATTACACAATTTTATTTTGCAAAATAACGTCTGAATCTCAAAATAAATTTTCGGGTAAAACTTATTACGGCCATGTTAGTTACAGTAATCCACATTCTATTAGATGTAGGAATATTTGCCAACCTATCTCAAAGGTAGTGTTTTTCCAGATAATTGAAAATTTTTAATGAGACGTCACTGAAGGGTCAAGCGATCTTCCCTTGAGTGCTCACTGCATTTCAAATTACATTCCTCCCCCTCTTTCGTTCATAATGAGTAAAAAGAAACATAATAGCATCAAATTTTAATATTTCATTTTTATCATATGCTTCGTGAGTAGAAAGCTAAAAGATATAACTGGTTTTTCTTTTAAAAAATTACCAATATATTGATGTTGCAACGTATTAAACACCTGTGCAAAAATCCCTAAAACTTCGAAACCTGCTTTTTTTCGAAGATGCGATAAGAAGTGGGAAAGAAAGAAATTAAATGAGTACTTATTCTGATTAAAAATTGAAATTCACAACATATACACGATTTCGATCGTCGATTTCGATTTCGACAACGTCGAAGTCTTTGGATCTGAAATCAGGGTGAGTCAAAAGAGACACTCTTTACAATGAAATAAATTAATCCTATTAAATTTGTTTTAGTGTTCTCAACAGTCTGGAACATATTTGTATTGAAAACTACTAAATTGTTTCAATGTGTGGCAATATATTTTTCAAAAAAAGCTTTCTATCAACAATATTGGAATTGAAATTTTGTAATTTAGAATCAAAACGCAACACATCTTGCAATAACCACAGAGTGAAAACAAGAAACTGATTCAGAAGGTATTCCAAGAAGAGAGGACAATTTCAGTTCAGATTCCTATAAATATATTTCATCATTATTTTTAATTGTCAGCTTGAAATAAATAAGTAGAAGTATAGTGACACGGTAGTGATGAGATCAATATATAGAAATTAGTTTGATTGAATTAAGTTTATTTGTTTCAGAAAGCATGTTAGCTGGTGGGGGGGGCGCTGGTTCTCCCTCGGATCCGCCACAGCTGAAAGATAAATATCGTGAAAAAAAAAAACAAAAACAAACAACAACAAACAACAATACATCTTTCCCATCCCCCCCAGAGAGGGCACTCACGTTTTTAGACATGACAATCTTTTTGAAGTCATCTCTGCGGATCTCGCGCTCGTCGCCGACCGTCTGCCGGAAGAGCTGCTCCAGCCACTCCAGGCTGCCCTTGTCGAAGCCGGAGCGCGGCCTGCAACAACAGAACATCGCAATGAGTCACCGACGCCGCGACGCCGCGTCTTTAAGAGCCTCGCGAGTGCCGAGCGCAGACCACCCAAGCCGCTCGCGAGCGGTTGCGTGCGCTGCGATAAGTCTGCAAGGCAGTGTTGAACCCGCCTGCGGAGAACCAGTGCCCGAGAAAATGACAAATTCGGTCGTTTTTATTGTCGGGAAATACGACCGAATAGCGAGATATGCTTGCGTAATGTCTTGGGAAAGTAAGTGTGGAGATGGATCAGAGTTTGTTTGTGCGATTTTGACCTTCAGAAACTTCGACATAATTCGTTTAATTGATGCACGTGTCGGTTTCTTGAAACTATATAATTTTTATTGATTTTGATTACAACTAAAGTGTTTGTTTCATGTCTTCACATATAAAATATACATAATATCTTGATAAGGCGACGTATTAGGTAGTATGTCAAAGGACATGGCTTAAGTTAAGTATAAGAAGAAATGCATTATTCAATACAAGATACTGAATTCTACAACGCTAATCGATTATCTTCTATGCTATTCAGAGTATTCTGTATGTTACACACATCCTTCAGTGAACTTGAATCTACTTTCATTAAAATATGGGGGAAAAAACATTCGCGATTAGATGAAAACCAAGGCTATGAGACTTTTGAAATCGATTGTACAAATTTGGTGACATTTTTGTAGAAATATATTATTTTCAGGAAAATTAGTTTCTTTGCTGGTTCTAGACATGTTATTCAAATACTCTGCAGCGCGTGTGTTTTACTTCTGCGACGCGTTGAGGGACAGAAGAGGTTGAGGGACTTTTAAATTTTATTTTGTTCTTTTGATTTGTTTTAGATGGATTAGTACCACAAAAACTGTAATTATGTACGAAAAGCTTAATCTAAAATTATTTAACACTTCTTAAAATATCTTAAATCTACACACATTCAGAAATTCCTCAATAAATAATAATAAACTTTTTATATGATTTTTGACGGAATAATTAAGGAGCATCTGTACATGCGATTCATCTTTACTTTAATTTAGTGTGAATGGTTAACTCAATTTTCTTGAGAGCAAGAAGGATTTTCCTATTATAATTGATTTCACATTTCAGTATGAAAAAACGTTGTTTAAAGTAAAGTCGTAGGCTTCCGCGGCCAGAGTCAGGTGCATGATCTGGGCTGTCCGGGTGACGCCGCGTCGAAGGCTGTGTTGCCGACATTTCGACCATCTTGTCGTGGTCGTCTTCAGGGCTGGTAGGCATACATTTCATTTCTTGCCATCGTAAGACTTGTCCTGTCACGACCGACTGCTAGAGCAGTACTATAGTTTGCCTTGGACAGGTGCTCGCGTCGGTTGACACAGATGGGCTCTACGGTTTCTGCTTGAGAAGCGATCCTGCGCGGACAGCAATGCAAGCAGCCGAATACTAACGCATCCTGTGTTGTGCGTCTGCGCGTAAATGTCAAATTCCATAGCCGTCATGTGACATGTATATAACGTACAGTCAACTGACACTGCGTAAGCTATGCAGACAATGCAATGTAAAACTTTCTTGCAAGGGCAGGAGGTTGGCGAATTGTGAATTTGTAATAACCAGCTTACTTTAAAATACATATAAATTAGTCACTTTCTTGTGTAAGGGAAACTTTAATCAAAACAGTGCGTGTTCATTGACGTTTGGAAAAATACATTCGACAGGACAAAAAGTGTTTAACCATGATACACAGCACTGGAAATACACGAGCCCATGCTGCGCCTATTTGGCTGTGTTTTCGCGATCGCCAATTGTTCGATTCCCACTCGTGTAGTTCCGCCTCCGACGCTGCAGCAGTCACCGCGGACGCGCTTTGGTCCTTTTCAGTTAGTCGAAACGTTCCAACTTGGTAACATTACCACAATCAGAATGAATTTAATCGCTTCATTTTATTTATTCGAAACTTCTTTAATGCATTACTGAAAACAAACGAGGTAATGTAAATGTACTTATCTTTTAAAATCCTCAAATTTTAATATCACCATCAACACACAAGGGCAGTGTCTACCAATCCACTACTTCAATTCATATAAAGAGAACTTCTCAACGTTTGTAACTTCTGAATCTCTATACCGAAATGTTTAACCGACGCTGAAAATTTACGCGTTTAAATGACGCTCTTTGGTCCTTTTCTGTCAGTCGAAACGTTCCAACTTGGTAACATTATCACGATAAGAATGAATTTGTTTCATTTTATTTATTCGAAAATTCGTTAACGCAATACTGAAAACAAACGAGATAATGTTAATGTACTTATCTTTTAAAATCCTCAAATTTTAATATCACCATCAACAGGCAAGGGAGATGTCCACCTACCCACTACTTCAATTCATATACAGGACAATCCCTCAACGTATGTGACTTTTGAATCTCTATACCGAAATGTTTAACCGAATTAAATAGTCATTAATTAATAATTAAAGAAAATGGATGTAAAGAAATCTATCCTTGACGAGATAGAGAAAAAACAAATCGTCTGGTACGGTCATGTAATGCGAATGACACGAAAGATGGCCAAAACGAGTCCTGAAACGGGTGCCAACAGAAAGACAGAAGAGAGGAAGACCAAGACTTGCATGGCAGCAGGGAGTGCAAAAGGCTACGACGGCAAGAGAAATGCCAGATGATCTATGGTTCAATAGAGAGGCATGGAGACTGAGAGCGGAGAAACGGCGACAGCTGTAGAGCAATTCCGTACTCTCTCTCTCCTCTCTCTCTCCCTATCTATCCATCTATCCATCTCTAAATCTATATCTATATCTATATCTATATCTATATATATATATATCTATATCTATATATATATATATCTATATCTATATATATATATATATATATATATCTATATATATATATCTATAACTATATATATATATCTATAACTATATATATATATATCTATAACTATATATATCTATAACTATATATATATATCTATATCTATAACTATATATATATATATCTATAACTATATATATATATCTATATCTATATATATATATGTATATCTATATATATATATATCTATAACTATATATATATATCTATATCTATATATATATATGTATATCTATATATATATATATCTATAACTATATATATATATCTATATCTATATATATCTATATATATATATATATCTATATATATATATATCTATATATATATATCTATATATATATATATCTATATATATATATATATATCTATCTATATCTATATATCTATATATCTGTACCTATATCTATATCTACTATATATATAGTCATTATATCACTTACATAAAAACAGCAGCAACGTGGGATTGTGGCGCTATCACTTCCATATCTCAGATTTCGCTGCTCTCCCGGCGCAAGAGCACGTCCGAGCTGCGCGCGCCTACGCGCTCAGCAGACGCAGCAGCTATCGCGGACGAGCATCGAACCCGCGACCAGGCGGCGCGAGCCGAAACCGCGCGCTGACGATAAATAACCGCTGCTCCCTTTCCGTCCGGGAGATCCACGTTCGCGTCCCGGCCCTATCATTTGCATTGCAAGTGGACCCATAATTCATGAGGCAGCCGACGCGCCGCCTCAGCTCCGGAGATCTCGCGGGGGAAATAATGAAACGCGGAGGCTGAGAGGTGTGGCCGGAGAGGTGGGGTCCGCACAGCCCTGCTCTCGGGCGGCTCCAAATGGAATAAGCAAATTTTATGAATTGCGATTGCTGTTCTTGCAACGTTCTAACCACGACGCAACAGGGGTACTGAGTACTTTATAAATGGAGTTATGTTGTTGAGTCTGGTGATTATTTGTGAATTATTTGACATTGTATTATTTTTCTGATAACTTTTTGTACCCTAGGTCAGTCATTCTCTACGTCCTAACGGGTTGTATTTCGGTCCATACACTAGCGGTACATACTAGAGGCGAGATTTGCGATCTTGGGTCAGTGGAACTCGCTGAATCGGTGCTGCTTAGGCAACAGGGAGAAATATTCTTCAAGGAAGGATGCAATCCCGTGACCTTTTGCAACGACACTACCAACAGATTCATACAACCTTCTCGGCAGGCTGGTTGATTTATGATTATATGAGGAAATAAAACTGATAGAGGGTAATATAACCACGATTTTCGTTCAATTTTTGCATAACTTGATACTCCAAGGATCATAAGAAGAAATTAGTTTTGATGGAAACAGTTATCGTAAGCCCAACAATTTTGAAAAGTGAATAGAATGTTTTATTGCTATTTGATTATTTTCTAGTTTGAGTGTAGGTTGTAAAGACGATTAGGTTCTTTCAAGAAAATAATTCGCCTCAAAAACCTTTTTTATGAAAATATTTATTTTTAGTCCAAATGGAAGTGCAGCACTTTAATTAAAATTTTTATTTTACTGAGCTGCAATTTTATGACATCTATAGGAATTGTACAAAATGTAGTATTATATGAACACAATTACTGTTCTATTCCAAATATTGTCGATAAGAAAAGAGAACGTAACAGCTAACTGAACCTTCGTCTAACCCCTTCCCCGCATGTTCTTCTCGGCGGCGCAAGTGCTTCATCCTGGCCGCGTGTGAGTCGACAAACTCGTCGAGGCAAAAAGCGGCGACGGCCGCCTGGCAAACCCAATTAGGCTAATGACTAATTGGCCGGATGCGCAGCGGGGGGGGGGGGAGCGGCGCCGGAAGTCGCGTGTAGAGTGCCCGCCGCGCCCATTTGTCGCGCTTATCTGCGGCGTCGAAGCGACGGGGCGGCGGAAGGAGGGACGGCTCGCGAGGCGGGCACGTGACTGCAGGGGGGACGGAAGGTGGGGGAGGAATGGCGGTCGAATCACGGTAACGCGGACGCAACCAAAAGCAAGAATGGGCCAGTGGGGAAAACGGAAAGGAAGTGGACGAGGCGGACTGGGAAGGACAGGACAGAACGCGAGGGTCGGGACAGAACGCGAGGGTCGGGACAGAACGCGAGGATCGGGACGGA